GGGAGTGTGAAGACGCAACGACAACTGACGTGAAATAACCGACTGATTGATAGACGGACTTGAGTCAAGTTTAGGGGGCTTTGGAAGAAGGTGAGGAGTCACGACAACCCTCAAGGCTTCGCGTGGAGTTCACGCAGAAGGAGGGTGGGATGACTCCACCTGACAGGACGGGACTGGACCATTTCTCTGTAGTGCTTTCTCTTGCTCATCTTCTTATTTCTCGTTGTTATTTGTGACCATCCGCACTAGTATTTCTCCATATCACCAGGCACGATTAATTTTTTGTTTGTGTAGCGACTACCAAGGCAGGCGGAAAAAACAACTCCCCCCCCCCAACCAACGAGCTAGCTTGGGATGCAAGCGTGCCTGTATGCCGCCTCGCCGGGTACAAATATGCAGCTACATAACATACTGTCAAGGAAAATCCCAGTGCATACGGAACCGTTTTTTGCAAATTCTGCGTTTAGCTTATTCACGTTTTCTATAACTATTGCATGCGAATCAGCTTTTACTACAACCATATTCTTTATTTCACGCCATATGCCTTTACTTCCTACAATACTTGAAAACTTTTTCTCATAAAAAGCCGTTTGCTGTTCCTGATTTTGTTTACCACTTTATTTCTGATTTTACGAAACTGGCTGAAGAGCTCGGGTAGTCTGAATTTTTTCCAACGCCTGTACAAAATATCGCGTTCGTTAATAAACATTTGTATCTCACTATTGAACCATGGATTTCCATCGGTACGGACAGTCTTGCTTTTGATTGGTACCAGTTCTTGACATAAAGAATAAATACTGTTTTCTATGACGTCGAGCTGAGCATTAACGTTCTCCATGTAATAGATGCTTTCCAATTTTATGTTATTTAATTTTATATTAAGTAGATTGTAGTCAATACGCTTAAAGTCTTTATAGACTAACTGTTGAGTATAGGTACTTATTTGAAAGTCGCCTTACAAGATTATATTCTTGAAGGTTAGGGTTAAAGACTGTAGCACCTCAATGAGGCTAGAGGTGTCAACATAGCGATTGGGTCTATATCTTATACGTATACAGAAACGACGCAGCGAATTTCAATTCAGTCTGCTTTCAGATTTCATGAGAGTGACCCCACTCTTCGCCGTTGAATATTTTTATTCGTAATTTTAGCGCGTGGTTGCCACCTATATATGTAACAATGCCCAAAATGTCTGA